TAACGATACCATTGCCGAATCCGATGTAGCCTCGGACGAGACAGCAACCGAATCGGCACCAGAGCCTACTTCAGAGCCTGAGCCTGAACCTCCCGCACCGCCGAAATGGAAGGCTCGTCGCTTCCCAACTCGTCCATACGACATCACCCCAGCCAACGAATGCACTTCCATCAATGATGTCCCTCACATTCGCGAGATCACCCTCCGCAGCATGATGGGAGAGTACTCAGGCTACGCAGGTTTCCTATCAGCGTGGTTCGATGAAAGTAAGGGCGAGAAGGGCGAGTGGGTCTTCGAGTTTAGCACGTGTGGAGTCGGGGTTCAGCATTGGTGGTGGGGTGTGCACATCGTTGACCTGATTTTACTGCTTTGTCTAGTAGTTGGGATTGTGACAAGTGTTTATGAGCGCGTAGCCGCGGACACAAGACATCCAGCGATTGTTAAGAGCAAGAAGCAAGAGTTGGGCTCGACTAAGAACTCAATGCGGGCGAAGACTATTGTGCATACGACGCGTGAGAGGACGTCTTCGGTGACGGAAGTTACGAAACGAAGCATATAGATGGGTATGTAGTGCATATAACTATACAGCAGGGCTTCCAAGAGCTGCGTTCTTTGTACCAACGTACCTGAGCTGAGTAGGCTAGTGTGCATACCTAGGTAGACCCTTCGGAGACATGGGTTTACCCCGCAATGCAACTCCACGCGCCAGCGTGCACATCTCCACGACCGGGCACCAACGTAAAGAGCGCTATACCGCGACCATTCCCGCCTCATTCATCCGCGTCTCGCGCTACCCCAGCTTTCTGCGCCCTTTGGTCTTGCTTCTTCCTAGACAGCCAAGAAGATGGACTAGGCCCGAACCTTAAATGCTGCGTGATCGACAAGTTCGGACTCATTCCGCTTCCCTGGCAAATGGAGACCTACGTGGATGAGGAAGATGCATGTGCGTGTAAGCAGACTGAAGCGAGTCTTCCGCATTCTTCATGACTTTCCCTGTTATTGGTTCAGCGTCACTGGAATGACATGTCAAAGTAGCCTGACTAGAGCAAAGTAGCCACTCAGCTCCAGCATATTTAGTCTTGTAGAACCGTACCCAGTAGCGCTACCGTGCACCGCGGTCTCATTCCGTGGCACATAGCTCTAGACTAATCAGACCACGTTATATGGACTCTGACCTCGTACTGCGCATCGGGAGGCAAGTCTCCTCTATCATCTATTCACAAACCGGCCATGTCTCTTGAACGCGTCGACTCGGTGGACCCTACAGAAGTGTACGACTACATCATTTGCGGGTAAGTTGACTTCCTATCATCTCCACTACAGCATTCCTCAAACACTCTTACTAACAGATACCCATCAGTGGCGGCACATCCGGTTGTGTAATAGCAGGCCGTCTCGCCGAAGATCTTAACGCCAAAATCCTCGTCCTAGAAGCCGGACCCGACAATGCAGACCTCGAGAATGTACACATGGCGGGAGGGTAAGTCAGCCATATTAACGTATACTGCTATTGGGTTATGCTAAGTAAATCGCCATAGATGGAGCCAAAATTTCGATAAGGAAACAGACTGGAACATCGTTACCGAGCCCATGCCCAAGGTAGACAACCGCCAGGTCAAGGTCAGCAGAGGACGCTTCCTTGGTGGATCGAGTGGCGTGAACGGCACGCTTTGTATACGGGGCACCAAGCAGGATTACGATGACTGGGAACTGGATGAGTGGACTGGCGATAAGATGTTTGAATACATGAAGAAGGTCGGTTCTGGAAGTGCGAAGATGTGGGATCATACAAGCTGACCCTGATACAGTCCGAGACATTCCACGAGAAGGACTGGCACAAAGCGGATATGTCTGTTCATGGCTCGTCGGGACCCCTGCACATCGAGCCCCACGACCTGGCACCCATATCTGAACGTGTTAGGGAAAGTCTTGTCGACCAGGGTCTTCCTTACCACGCGGATATGTTCTCGACCGGAGAGACCCCGCATGGCTGTGGCGATGTACCGCGAACAGTGCATCAAGGCATACGGAGTACCGCCGCCGACTTCATCACCAAAGGCTATCGACGCGAGAATATCACGATCAAGACTGAAGTCACCGTTGACAAGCTTCTCTTCAGTCAGGATGCCGGAGACCTTGCAGCAACGGGTGTCGCTACGATATCGAAGAATGGCAAGAAGATCGATTACCACGCGAGGAAAGAAGTTATTGTCGCAGCGGGCGCTTACTGCAGCCCACCGATCCTGATGCGCTCTGGTCTTGGTCCAAAGGAGCAACTAGAAAAGCATGGTATCGAGTGTCGCGTTGATCTGCCAGGTGTAGGCGGAAATCTCATGGACCACATTCTCTGCTTCATCTTCTACGAAGTCTCCGAGCCCAACCTCACGAACGATCACCTCGCATATCACGACGACGCCATGACCTCGACCTACGCGTTATACAAAGAGAAGAAAACAGGCATCTTATCTACCTTCCCCTTCGGCATATTCGGTTACGCGCGCCTAGACGAGCGCCTCCAAGACTCACCCTTATGGACAGACGCCCCTCGCGAACCCGGCCGCGATCCTATGGGCCTCACACCCTCGCAACCTAACATCGAATTCTGGAACACTGAACTCTACGGCGGACCCAAACAATACGCCGACTTTCCTATTGACCACAAGCAAGCCTTTGCCATGTGTGCACTACTCTTCAACCAGCATAGTAGGGGTAGCGTAACGCTGAAGTCGGCCGACCCCTTCGAAAACCCCATTGTCGATCATGCGTATCTAGAAGATCCACTGGATATGCTGGTGATGACCGAGGCATGCCGATTTGCGAACGAAATCGTTACGAAGGGGAAGGGGACAAGGAGTTTGATCAAGGGGAGTTGGCCTGATGCCCTAGCGCATCATGGCTTTGAGACCAGAGACGAGTGGGAGCCGCATGTCAGAGAACATGCTACTACCTGTAAGTCGCTTCCATGTTTATCTACAAATGCGAAAAGATACTAATGTGGTGAATGTAGGTTACCACGCATCCGGCACCTGCGCGATGGGTAAAGCGGATAACCCCAACGCTGTTCTCGACTCGCGACTTCGTGTACGCGGTGTCAGGAATCTGCGCGTGGCGGACGTGTCTTCCATTCCAAAGGTTAACAATGGGCATACACAGATGGTTGCGTATGGTATTGGGGAGGGAGCTGCGGAGATGATCAAGGAAGATGCTGCTGGAAATCACTTTTTGAAGCTTACTGCTGATGTTAAGAGCATGGCAGTTTAGTGAACTTCACGTACACGAAGAGGTCTGGGGAGAGAAAGGACTCATAATGATTGAGTAGGTACACTAAGGACTCATAATAGCAAGGTTTTGACGACGTTTACTTTTCTAATGATATCATCTCCAAGTCGACCTGCTCATCAACTCATGCATTTTCGTGTTTGCAATGTGCTCCGTCTCAAGCGTGTAGAGCTGACCCCTAGTAACCGCCTCTGAACCCACCACGGCCACGGTTCCCACCTCGTCCCCTACTGGATTCACCACGAGGACCCGGTGCAAAAGCAGGCGGTGCAATAGGCCCCTGAAACCCTGGCGGCGGTGCCATTCCGCGAGTATAACGCCTCTTCTTGTCAGTCTCATCTCGCTCCAGCAAAAGTCCATCCCATATCTTACCAGTTGGGGTACTTCATCAGCGAACGACCAGATGCCCAAGTCATTCCTCGCTGTTTTTCTTGCTGGGCGACCACCTCATAGGCGTCTTGTAACCCCCGGGCTGCTTGGAGAGGCGGAAGAACAAGACCGCCCCACTTCTTGTAATGGCGGACTAAGAGGAGGTCGACCAAGGCTGCATTGCTGATGATGGACTCGACGCCGGGATGGCAGTCGTCAGGATGGGTTATGCCCCAGACAATTTGGTCCATGGCGTTGACGTTATTCTCGATCAGATCCTGATGGTTGTTAGTAATTAGTAGGTAGACACTTGGGTGAAGGTGAAGGTGAAGAAGAAGTGAAGTGGTATTGACAATGATGAAACTGAGCATGAAAGGAACTTACGATAGCGTTGCTGACGCCCACCACAGTAACGACATCCCGGCCGTGAACGTGGTTTGGAGTTTTGCGCTTGTATGTGCGCCAATGTGTAACCATGCTGGCGTCAGCGTAGGCCTCGAAGTCGTTGACCTGATAACCGGTTGGACGTTCACTCTCTAAACGGTACACGAGCTCGTTGCTTGAGGAGGTGTTGTTGGACATCTTGTTGTATTTTGTCGATTGTAAAATAATAGAAGCGGTGTTCGAAAAGGTGATGCTGAAAATGAATATGCTTCCGTTGTTGTAGAAGGAAAAGAAGAAGCAAGCGTATGAGGAGGGTAGGTTATATAGAAAAAAGAACCCCCACCGTTTGCCGCTAGAACAGTCAATCCGCCGTCACATTGAGAAGACGGAAGGTGAGAGCGTCGGTCACGCTAGATGTTGAGAGGCAAACGCCCTTGCAAGCGACGGTCACCTCGGCTAGAGATGTCAGGAGGAACGCAAAATGAGAGATGCTAACACGCGGAAAGAGAGGTCTGGAGAAGGACTTACTCATGGTGTCGTCGTGTAAGTGTAGCAGGCATATCGTATGTCATCTGAGAGTATGTGTTGTCGTAACTTGACCGAGTGAGTAACTCTCCTGATATGTAGCAATCAAGGCAGTCCAAGCGCGCATGATTCGCCTTCCTGGCATCTTCGGAAGGGATGCCAGGTGTCCATTGTGCTAGGTGCCAGGTTTCGTAGTCTCTCTTTCGCCGCCGCCAAAAGCTCGATCAAATCAGCATGAAGATCTTATACAGCCCGCAGTTAGGTCTGAGCAGTAAGGCAACATTTCATTGCTCAGGTCCGTGCTCCTGGTCACTAGTCACATCGCGGAGACCCCATGATCCACCCAGTGCGTTCTCTCCTCAAAACCGCAAACACCCGCGATATTTATCTTCCACACGCACTACAGATCAACCCAGGCCCCCCAACTTTCGAATATTTTCAATATGGTGCGACGAGCAGCAAAGCCAAAGCCCGAAATGAGCTACTCCAATTACATCGCTTCCGAAACAAGACTCGCTAGGCTTGAAGCTGACGACATGCCAAATTATGCGGCCATGAGTTATTCGGAACTTCGCGAGGAGATGAAGTCGCGCGGGATGTTCCAAGGTGGAAAAAAGCAGCGGATGATCGACGTGCTTGACCGTCAGTTTCGAGACATGCACATGGAACACACGAGAAGGCCGGTTCGTCAGGCCAAGCGTCGTCTTCGTGAGCACCCAGAGATGATGCTTGCCAGCGAATTCAAGAGGGATCCTTCCAGAATCTCTTTCACGGACTTGCCTGGTGAGATCCGAAACATGATCTATGATCTCGCCCTCTTCGAACCTCCTTCGGGCGATTTCGCACAAGCTGGAAACTGGGAGATGACTGCCAGCAGTGGTCGCTTATATCTCTCTCGCTACCGGACATATCATCTGGAATTAGATCTTGGAGAACTCCGCTATGACCGCACCATCTCAGCGTTGCATGTTGTCGGAGCCTTGGACAAGCAGATCCGGAAAGAGGTTCAGACCTTCTTTTGGGCTCAAATCCATATCACGATTGTCCTAGAGAATTATCACCCACAGGGCTACTGCTCCGTCGTTCGCCGGTTCCTCGAAAGAATCGGCCCTCTAGGTAGAAGCGCCCTCGCCGGCTTCACTGCGCAAGCGAGGTATACAGATAATGCGCAAGCGCGGCACCACGACTATCAGACCATGCTCGCGTTGCTTCGAGAGTGCAAAAACTTGCGGACACTGGATATGTGGCTACCTATGCACATGGTAATGGGTTCCCCCGATCGGAAGGCGATGGAACAATTCTTCCTGCATGGTCAGCCTTTGGTCAGTCCTAGCGTCGAGGCTCTTGTAGGCGCATTGCATTCGATTCCGCAGCTTGGCTTTGTGCGACTACACACAGAGCATACGGACAATGTAAGGCACTACCTTCATCATAACGATTTCAACGTCTTCGCACTGACAGGGGTACGCGAAGAGCGCCTGGTCCAGGAAGTCTGTAGGCGCCTTCAGGGGCGTAGAGACGTCGAATTCAACATCGTGGGTAGCATGAATCAGGTGGAGAGTTACGAGGAATGGCTATCACGCAAGGCGGAAGACATACTCTGGTAATGGAGAAGAGCTTACGCTCACTCGGTTTCTTCCTCCTTGTGTAGAGCGTTGTGTAGTTAAGATGACTGTAGCTATGTTTGGCTTCTTCGCGGTGGCAGGTAGCGTGCTATCACCGAGCACGTAGAATGCTTTTTGAGTTAGTTCGAAATATGAAGGTATTGGGAGGGGATACCAAGTAATGATGAAATCGATAGTGGCTAAAGATACGATATTCAGTGCGTGTGCAGATGCTTAGCCGAGGAACACCGTTGGGGGAATTCTGAGGAAGCTTGTCAGAAACACGCGACGCGGCTGGCAGGGAAGACGCGTCTCGCTTAATCAGCACACTACTCGCAACTCGCGTGAACGGCATTGCTCTTTCCCTTTGCCGCGTGTCAACACTTTGGAGATATCATTATATGCTACGCGATCCGCGCACCCAACACATGACATCTACCGTTACAGTTCGACTGCGGTGCGCAGCGGAACAGACAGCACATCGAAGAACAAACAGAGGCATGGGTATCAACAAATACATTAAGCTATCATGACTTTAGGACCGTCTCGTTATGTCGTCATCTATCTAAGCGGCTCGACAGCGCGTCCACCTATTCATACCTCAAACCGTGTCCGAACTTGAATACAGGGTTTTCGGTATCGAATGGCACATCCTCCTTGCTCGCCTCAACCGCCTCGTCGCTCCTCGGGAGATCGAAAGGCAGCTTACCCTCCGGACCGCTACCGTCAACGCCGAAGACAACATCGAGGAAGGCTTCAGGGCTAGTTCCGTAGTTGACCATGAGTGCTTGGGCTTGCTCGGCAATCTCAGGGACAGCAGCAGGGCGGTCAAGGAAGATGTCAACAATGGTGGGGACGGCGGAGTAGATGGCTGCTTGGCGCGCCTTCTCGGTGCTGTTGTACTCGAGAGAGCCGGAGTGGTAGTTCTTCTCAAAACCACCCGGGCGGGGCTCGTAGGGGGCGGCCATGCGGAGGAAGGCGTAGTCGGCTTCTTCGGGAGTCGCGACGACAGTCAGGTCGCGGGCCTCTAGGAAAGTGCTGTTGATACCTTCAACGTAGAACTTGGCCTTGGAGCATTCGGAAGCCTTCAGTGGGAGAATGGAATCCTTGTTGGTGAGCAGAGTAACGGACTTCTTCTGGGCCTCGTATCCGGCCTCGACCCATTCTTTCTTAGCAACGTTAGCCGCGGCGGCCTCGGGATCCACGAAAGGGTTGTCGAAGAGACCGAGGATGAACTTCTCGCGGAGAAGACGGCGAACCGACATGTCGATGCGCTCCTCACTCACGATGCCCTTCTCCACCAACTCGAGAACGAGATCAGTGCGCTCCTCGCCACCCATCTGGTCGGTGCCAGCGTTGATAATCTTCTCGGCACGCTCGAGTTCAGTCAGGTTCTCCGCACCCCAAGCACGAGCTGGCATGTCTTGTCCGTTGATGACACCGTCGGTGATGAGACCCCAGTCGCTGACGACGATTCCGTCGAAACCAAGCTCGCCTCGGAGAAGGTCGGTGACAATGCCCTTGTTCATGCCAGCGGCGACCTCCTCGTACTTGGTGCCCATAGGCCTGGAGTAGTAAGGCATCATCTGCCTTGCGCCAGCTGCGATAGCAGCCTTGAACGGGATGAGATGATGCTCGAAGTTGTTTCCTGGGTATGTGGCATTCTTGCCGTAGGTGAAATGGCTGTCCTCACCGTCTTCGACCGGCCCACTTCCAGGGAAATGCTTTGAGACGGTGGTCACGGAATCCTTTCCGAACTCACCAGGGCCATGGAAGCCCTTGATGTATGCGACCACAAGCTCAGCGGTCAATGTGGCGTTCTCGCCCATTGTCGTGGTGATCCTGGCCCATCTCGGTTCGGTCGCTACGTCGATCTGAGGGTGCAGCGCAGACCTGATTCCGACAGCCTTGTACTCTTGTCGTGCAATGTCCGCAAAGGTGTGGATGAGCTCAGCGTCACGTAACGCTGCCAGTCCCAAGCTTCCGGGCCACTGCGAGAACTTGACTGCAGCGATCTGACTGCCGGTGGCATCAACAAAAGTGTGCCTTGGATCTGAAGAGAGCGTGACTGGTATGCCGAGCCTGGTGTCTAGGGCCATCTCTTGAAGAAGGTTGTGCCACCGTGCAGATTGGCGTACATCGGTGATGGCACCGTTGAGGTTGAAGTGTGTCATGTGCTTGCCTTTGATTGAAAGCGCAGTTGTGTTCGATAGGGTTCCGTTAGGTCCTGGGAAGTTGATCTGCTGGAAGAGCTGTCCGGCCTTTTCTTCCATGTTCATGCGTTGGATGAGATCCTCCACACGCTCATCTACTGATAGGGAAGCATCGCGGTATGGTGCCGAGTCCATCTCTGTTGACCGCGATGTCATTCGTGGGTATGTGCCACCACTTGAAGCCGGAACGCGAATGGCGGTTGACATGGCTGTTGCAGCAAAGAACAGCGTTGTGAAGGTGTTCAGCTTGCGCTGACTGCGGTTGCGAGCGACCATCTTGCCGGTAGTATGAGTTGAGGCACGAGATAGAGGATGAGGTCGGATGCTACTGACCACTCAGTCGGCGGCCTTGACCCCAGGTATTTGTACTCTGGCTTCAATGTACCCCGTCACGATGCGTTGCCGATATGTGCGCTACGTCCGAGGGACTTTGAAGCTTTGCTTCTGCTTGGGGAAACTTCGGATAGACCGTCGTCTTGGAACCCGTACCAGCAACCAGCTTCTCATTGGCCTTGGCGCAGTCGAGATTGCCATTAGCTGGAGCCGACGATTTGCCAAGGCGATGAGTGTGGAGTGCATTGTGGGGGAAACGTGGGTCGGGGTAAAGCCCCCGAAGCTAAGCCCTCATTTCAGCCGAATACTGGTCCGGCAGATTGGTGATTGGGTGCGCGCACACGCTACGAATGCTCATGACATATAACGAACGGTTCGACACACCCTTTCGAGCTGGTAGCTCAGCTGTCATGTGAGCAAACAAAAAACTGCGTACCCTGGGTCTGACGCGCAACTCCACATTCCGCCCTTCGTAAATGACTCGACATCCACGATTACGGAGCATTTGAAAAACGTCCGATCCGTGGGCGTGCCACATGCCGCTTATGAGATTCCGGCGCCTTCTCCAGAATGACAGTGTTGCCAGTGAGTGCTTAAAGCTCTGAGTGAGGATCGTATGTCTTGGTGGTAAAGAAAGACTGTTCCTCTGTCTTCGCAAAGGGGTGTCGGAGTAGACTGCAAATCTCATCGAAAGGTTTGGCGCAACGTTTTCCACGCCCGTACCCGGCCGAAATTTTGGAGCCGCAATCCCGGTGCAACGAGAATACCAAGGCCATCATCGCCATGGCAAAGCTAGCCTCCTTAGCACTGTAACCACCGCCATACCACTGCGGAGGTACTCGCTGGATTCCGACACACATCCGCGTACCGCTAGACGAAGTCCAGAAAAGCCCCTCCGTTTCCGCTAGCTCTTCTTTGTCTTGCCTCTACCACCCTCTCGGCTTCTACTTCCACTGGTCGGGAAGATGTGCTCGTGCCGACGTGGAGGATATGCACTATGATGCACGTTGTTCCCCGCGGTATGCTTTAGCCAACGATGGTTGCATCTTGGCTAAAGTTCGGATCGCAGCCCGGCAGTGTGCAAAAGTTCGGAGGGTGGCACAATGGCACTACTGGGAGCGCATGCCTGCCCTGAGCCTGCTGGTAATTCCAGTCGATCCGGATGAGACGCCTCTTCATTAATGCGCTTGGTTCGATAGTCAAAAGAATACATTGAGGAGCGAATGATACATGGTAAACAACCCATGAAGATACACGGGACGACTGAGACGGTGGTAAGAGGCAACAGCAACAGCCTTGCCTGGATCGGTACACTACCTGCGTATCGCTTGCACCACGAGCCATTTACTTTGCACGGTATATTTTTACTGATTTTCCCATGTCAGGGCTGAAGTCCGCAAATTGGCATTCTTGGGCGTCGTGGTGATGTTTGGAAAGCTTTGATTTAGTGTAACCGAGTGGCTGGGTGCGATTGTGGGGTTAGCGAGCCGGTGCAGGAAGGTGCGACGTAACGCAACGACAATCACGGCATTATATTTTTGGACGATACGAATATCTACATTGACGAATGCCTCCTCCGGGACATCTAAGCGATTGCGCGCGACACACGGAGTGACTGTGCAGGCTATCTCGGTGTACCAAGATCACCCATCATCTGTCTCCTCCGCCCACGATAGAAGCGCTCGAGCATCTTCCTCCTCTCCTCTTGCGTACTGCTTTCCACAAGCAGCGCAAATTCGACCGGATCATCAAAGCCCATACTCTCCGCCATGCTACAGAACTGCCGCTTTCGCACATCCTCGCTCGGCCTATACCGGTAATTGATCTTGAACTCGCCTTTCGTCGCACTACCAGTAACATGGACCTCGTCGTCTTCAGCGTCGGTCTCATCCCCATCATCCCGATTTCTGGATTGGTGCTGCGATTGAGATTGCGACTGCGTACCCTGGAAGACGCGTTTGCCTGCAAGATCGATGTCGTTGCGTACCTCCATGGCCTGTTTACCTAGTCGAGCTTCTATCTCGCTGCGTCCGATGACCTCTGAGTTCTCGTGCGTATATTGAACTCCAGCCTTCGCGAGAATTGCGTTGATTGGATCAGGTCCAGTGCGCCTTGTGGCTCTCATCTTGCCCTTGCCGCCACTGGTTGTCGAAAGAATGGAATCAGCGAACTTCTTGATACCGGCGATATTAGCGTCGTCATCAAGGCCTAGATTCTTGTTGGAAAGTATGTCCTCATCCTCAGAGTCATACTGCGACTCATCGACATGGAAGTCATAAGCGTTGACGCCGGCTTTTGATTCAGCAACGTTCGTCTTGTGCATGATGTCGCGAAGCAGCACGCTGTGTTCTTGGAAGGTGAAGAGGTTTTCTAGACCAAACAGTTCGCCCTTTTTGGTGGATTGGTCCATCACACCCTTGAAGTAGCGACGTTCTTCCGAAGCATTGTAACCAATATTCGCTTGCTGTTGCTTGTAAATCTGACGAGCGTACACTACCTCCTCGATAGTACCGCTTGACACTAGTCGAAATACTTCAACGTTGCGTGTCTGACCAATACGGTACGCTCGATCTTGTGCCTGCAGGTCATAGGCTGGATTCCAATGCGGATCCATCACGACAACCTTGTTAGCCGACGTGATGTTCAGACCCACCCCTCCCGCCTTAGTGCTGATTAAGAATACGAACTGGTTGGGATCTGCGTTGAAGTCTGCAACAGCCTGGGAACGATCTTCGTACTTCATGCTGCCATCAAGGTACGAGAAGTTGTACTTGGTACCGTCGACATCAAAGAGACCTCTAAGTAGCCTCAACAGGCGAACGGAATGTGAGAAGATAAGGACCTTGTCGCCATTCGAGTGCCAGAAGTCGAGCAGTCGCCGCAGTACTTTCCACTTCCCACAGAACTCTCGCTGAGATTGCACCAAGATGTTGTCGCGAATCTTCCAAAGATCGTCGTACGTGTTCGGACAAGCTATCTCCAGTGTTTGGAGATCTTTGGTTTGCTTCTCTGAGTTCTCATGTGACATTGGCACGATCAAGGCCAGGTGATTTGCGAGTTTCTGGAATGTGACCATACAGGGAAAAATGAAGTTTGACCACTTCTCGCCTTCGATATCGGCGTAACAGCAGGAACCTCTGCTTTTCCCGGACCCACAATCGCACTTCTCTCTCGAAGTGCGTATGTACTCACACTTGTCGCTTTCAAGGAAGGTTCGATAGGCGTCAGCTTGAGTCTCGGTGAGCTGGCAGAATATGACGCGATCGCTCTTCTTTGGTAGCTGGTCAGCGATCAAAGTCTTCATACGTCGAAGAAAGACACTGGGTAGAATATTGTGAACGAGATCCTGAGCTCGACTACGCGAGTCGGCAAGCTGAGCGTTGGTGGCATCGTGAGCCTGGCCTAGCTTCAGCGGAAGGCTGATCTTCTGCTTCCACTCCTGGGCTGACCCGTATGCGCCAGGTCGTACCCAGTTGAGGAGGTTCCAGAGCTCTTCATATTTATTCTGAATCGCGGTACCTGTCAACCCAATGCGACATAGTGCATTAATTTTGTTCATCGCTTTGGTGATCTCGGCGTCCTTGCTCTTGATTTGATGGCACTCATCAGCGATGACACAGTCCCAGTCGATGGTGTTGATTTCGCTCTCATGATTGCGGTATGTCGTGTATGTCGTGATCATAATCTCTAACGTGCCCTTAGCGGCAGTGCCGAGGACGCTTTTCCGATCTGCCTGTTTGGAGCCATGATATCTGTAGACTTCCCACCAACCCCACTTTGAGAGCTCGTCTTCCCAATTTTGCATAAGCGTACCAGGGCAGACGATGAGAATCCGCGGATACCAATGAGCATTGCCCAGTCGACGGATCTTTCGCATGCATTTTGCATCGCGCTCAGTGCCCGTCTTACCAAATGCTGCTGTGAGGAATGCAATGACCTGGATAGTCTTCCCCAGTCCCATGTCATCACCTAGAATCGCACCGGTCTGCTTGACAAACTTTTCATGCAAGAACTGGACGCCTTCAACCTGGTAGTCGCGCAACCATTGAGCGATGGGTCCAGGTATGATTCCATGCGACTCGTGAAGTCTGATGTCCTTCTTCTCGCGCTGCTGTTGCACGGAATCGTCTAGTTTTGGCTTCTCTTCAGTGCCCGCGTTGTACCAGTCAACGTCGTGATAACTGGGAGGGTATCGCAGTCCAGATTCGTGCAACTTCTTGAGTGTCTTTTGTCGCGATATGAAGTAGTCAGGGATGGGGTCGTCCAAGAAAGCTGTCGCGCCCTCATCATCGGCTAAGGTGTCGGTACTGAAGCCTGTCGGACCATAGCCATTTTTCTTGGGTGGAGGTCTGCGACCCACGATACTGGTTGCAGCCGTTGCTTTACTCTTCTTTTCACTGCGAATCCGGTTGGTTTCAGCATTGGTACGCTTCCGTTTCTCGGTCTTGCGTCCTGTCCATTCTTTGTGAAAAGCCCTTGGATCGTACTCGGCTTCTAACAACTCATCGTCATCGGTACCTGAGCTAGTGACATCTCTAGTTCGTGGTTCTGGTTCATCCATTGCATCGTCATCATTATCGTCGTTTTCGTCGTTTTCGTCTTCTGTGACCTCATCTGTAGCCTGTTGTGACTGAGTCTGGCTTTGAGTCAAGACTACCAGGTATTAGCATATTGCCAAAGGTCGAGGAAGCATCGACTGACCGTCAATATACTGTGAGAGGTCCAAACCTTTTCTAGATGCTTCTATGATGTCAAGATTGTCATCTTCCTCACCGCTCTCACCAAAAACTCTCATCGCTCTTTGTTCGTCCTTCGACTTGTCGCGACGGAAGGACATGATGGCTGAGGTGGCGGGTAGCAGGGGTCGTTTGTGAACGCTGTGTGATTTTGTTCAGCTTATCACTGATACCGGCGCTTGACAATCGCATATTGGCGCACGGTCCTGAGTAGTGGCGATTGTCACGGAAGGAAGCACCTGGAGTGGGAGCGTGAAAGGAAGCGCCACCGAGCTACCCAAACACGCTAACACGCTCTCACGTGAAAGCGGGGCGCGACTAGCAGCAGATCCCTGCAAGAACTTCCGCCAAAATCTGGAGCTCGAGCCTGCAAGCCCGCATCATCGCGCGCAATTGCACGCCCTGCCAAAGTCAGCTGTCTTCACGAACCACAGTTACAAGTCGGCGAAACGCGTCGCGCAATACACAGCCCTTTCAAACTCCTGCGACACGACCAAGATGCCGCTAGACACCAGCACCTACTCTCTCGCGCTCCTCCGCCTCGATGGCCGCCGCTGGAACGAACTACGCCGAATCCACGCGCAAATCTCCACGCAAGCCGCCGCCGATGGCTCGTCATATCTCGAGATGGGCAACACCAAGATCCTCGTTTCAGTCACCGGACCCGCAGAAGGCAAACAGAGCGGGCAAAGAGGCGGCGCAGACAAGCAGGCCAAAGTTGAGGTCGAGATAAATTTCGCGGGCTTCAGCGGTGTAGAGCGGAGAAAGAGGAAGAGCGATAAGCGGACAAGTGAGATGGAGCACTGCCTGAGGTCGGCGTTTGAGGGCGTATTGCTGCTGCATCTCTACCCGCATTCGACAATTACGTTGAATGTCCACATCATTTCACAGGATGGGTCGCTGTTGGCAGCGTGTATCAATGCGTCAACATTGGCGCTTATCGATGCGGGTATACCTATGACAGATTATCTGGTCGCTTGCACAGCCGCATCTTCTGCTTCTGCGTCAGCGGCGGACAACGCGTCTGCCGATGACCCGCTGTTGGATCTCAACAACCAGGAGGAATTGGAGCTTCCATTCTTGACGGTAGGGACATTGGGGGATACCGATAACGTCGCTGTGTGTGTCATGGAGACTAGGGTACGAATGGAGAGGTTAGAGGGTATGCTGGCAGTGGGTATCGAAGGATGCAAGAGGATGCGTACCATATTAGACGATGTGGTCAAAGGATACGGCAAGAGGTTTGGATGAAGGAGTAAAGAGGATTGGAGTCTATCAAAATGTCGTCTTAGCACGACGTCCCAGCGCGACATTCAAGACAACACGCACGAATCGAGTCGGACACAGCGAAACGTCTCGGATGTGGTGTCTAGAAACATCGAAACTGTGGGAGACCTAGGACGGAAGACTGAATGCGTTTTCATGTAAACCTCGATGGGAGGCAGCGCCGGGTTGCTCCATGAAAGAGCAACAATTTTGGAACGACGAAATCAAGATCCATACAGGGCCTTACTACTTCTGCTTTTATTCTGACGGACTCCATGTGCTAACCAAGTCATGGTCTATTGTTATACAGGTCACCCGATAATCACCCCACACGCCCATTCTAATCCCACCATACTCTGTAAAGCAAAGCACACCACATATCGTTCTCGAGATGTTCCAAACCGATATTTCCACTGTAGCTTTTGGATCTATAAGAATTTGCAAGTTCAAGAGTTACCTTAACACCAGCACCAATCAGGTATGTCAACAGCTCCACGAAGTCGTCATGCAAATCTTGAGGCCGATAAGCTTCCATCCACTCTTCGTAGTCCACCTTCAGGGCGAGCGTAGCCGGTCGCTGCAGCTTATACAGATACTGCCACCCCTCCGGCATCCCTTCAAGGTCAATAGATCCTTCATCTTGTTTCACGTATGGAGGACATATCTCAACCTGTATGTGGCGGATATGTCGGACAAAATCCAGATTAGGCAAATCCCAAATATCTTTTCCTGTATCGTACAGACCTCGCCCGTTGGAGTTGAGATTGAGGTGGAAGATGCAGTAGTGATGCCACTCTTCAGCTAGTTCGACGAGTGTTTCCTGGCCCACAAATGTAGTATCGCAGAGATGGTGGTAGCTTTCCAGTACGCCTGGTAGGATGTCGTGAGACACCACGAAGCTATCAGAATCTTGAAATACTGATGCATAGACCATGTCACGTAGCTCGCGGGGTAATCGCGATTGCATCTCTGTGCACAAGCTAAGACACGATGATTTTGCCCATTTCTCGACGTGTTCGCGCGCCTTGTCTCGCAGTATTGCACTCTGCTTCGCGTGGTGTTGAGCTTCTCTCAGCATACTGTTGTTGGGATTTATGAGTAATTGCACTGCAAGTGAAAGCGCAGTACTTACCTGGAGACAAGAGCCGGATCGAAAGTCGTATTAGTTTGTGACATGCTGGGGATAGAACGAGTTGCGGAAGTTGATGTATGAAACATGAAGTAACGGGTTGTTCGCAAAAGCCAGGTGCCCAGGTGGAGATTGAGGCTAAGCGTGGCTAGTCTCGATCGGGCTTTGACTAACCGGAACTAGACATAATCGAGATGCCTAGGTGTTTTCTCAAACCCGTTCATATTGAACATGATCCTTTGGAGCGAGTGACCCTGTACCTTGCTTTACTGTCGGAGATGCGCCCCACGAACCAGCTTCGACCAACCTTCGCTATCAAGATGTTCCAATCCCACTTTTACAGGCTCCGATTCGTCTATCTGAACAGCGACACCCACGCCGGAAGCGATCAACTGCTTCAACACCGGAAAGACCCTTCTGGACATTAAGTCGACAGAAAACTTCTTACCTTTCCTCGTCTCACCATGATAATACCAATGTCCGAAGGAGATACCGATCGTAAAGGTTGCCGGGTGCTCCAGCTTCGCGAGTTGCTCGAAGTCCGACGGCAGAACGAGCTCTTCTCCAGCTTCCAAAGTCTTCTCCATTCCCGCCGTAAAATCTCTGGGGGTTACTTGCATGTATACGTGGCGTATCCATCGAGTGGTGTCAAGGTCAGGGAGGTTCGTCCATGTTTTGTTGCGGAATAGGCAGGCCACGTCGGAATCGCTGCCTTGGAGCTTGAAGACTGAGTGCCGATACCACATTTCTGCCAACTCAGTAAGTGTTTCTTCACCGACGAACGTTTTGTCGCCGATATGGCAATTGTTGGACACAATTTCAGCTGAATAATATTTTCCGGACCCGAATTCTTCATTGTCGACATAATAGTTCTCAGGTTCGCCAAGTAGGGCTTCGTAGACCATATCCCTCAGCTCGCGAGATAATTTCTCTTGCATCATCGAGCAGAGGGTGAGACACTCTGACTTCGCGTATTCCTCGATGCTCATTCTCACTTCCTCTTTAAGTTGATGAAACTCGCGAGAGAATCGTTCAAGCCCGCTTGAGAGACGTGCGACCTCCCTCATCATACTACCAAGTCTATTAGCGACAGAAGTTTAGTATGAGAGGTAAAGATTACCTCAAGATATGAGCCCGACCGGATTTGACCGCTGGTGTTGACATCGTAGGCGAGCAGCTCTTAGGGCAGAGCGAAATTGGCTAGGGATGCAACGAAGACGGGCGGCGAGATCGATATACTTGACTAGCGTAACGCACGATGCGATCAAATTGCCTGCGCAGGAGCGGTCGGGCGAGGTAAAACAAAGGGAGCACGAGCTGCCTAGAGTGCCGATAGACTAGGCTCGGTAGTACGCCTATCCAAATGAAGCTAGAGCATCTCATAAGACCTCGGAATTGCATGCGGGCAGGAGCGACGAAGCTGGACCCTGATAGTGCTGGCTCATGCAATACACATTCAATAAGAAAAATCATCCTCAATCCTTCGTGAATTCGTGCAAGACATCGGAACACACAAGAAGCCACCGCCATGAGCAAGGAGATCTATTATTCCAAGTAATACATCGCTAAATACACCGAACAAAAGCCTGGTATCTTGCGTAGATGCGAAAAACCCCACCCAGAGACACATACAATCAAGCCGACATCCGTATCGTAGTTCTCCTCTATCATGAGTCCATGTACACGCTTTCGTAGACCAGCCAAATGTATCGCCGCGGCCGTCTTTAACATATACCATACACTTAGTATCCATACAAAGTCATCTTCCTCATCATTTCCTCACATTCCCCTTGCCATCTCTCCACCTCCCATCGCTAACGCATATAAATTTGACGTTTCTTCCGCGACTCTTCACGCTCTCTACACCACCAGCTTCAATCCATCGACCCAGATTCTTGCATTGGCTAACGTCGAAGCGTTCGAGGTCTCTGCAGCCCTCCACAACAGCTTCAACACCAGTGCCAGTGACGCGGACACAACCTCGTACAGAGAGATTTCGGAGTTCGAGGAGGTGTAGGGATATACAGCGAAGAGAAGTGTCCGAGACCGCGGAGCCGCAGAAGGCGAGATTGAGGTGTGTAAGTGAAGGGAGGCCGAGAGCAAGGACTTCAGTTGCGGTGTCAGAAAGGGCGCAGCAGAAAGACTGATATGCGTTAGTACGGGCATTCTGCCTAGCATCAAATGGAAGATAGTGGGCTTACGAGATCCAGTTCCTTGAGCCCTTTTGCTGCGTTCGTCAGGTACACAATTGCGTTGTCGGTCAGATATGTGCAGTCTGCGAGACACAGCTTTGTCAACCGTGGGAACGGATAGACACTCCAGTGTTGGAAGCCAACGTCGGTGATAGTCGTGCATCTTGTTAGGTCGATGCTCTCGATGCGGTTTGCTGCATGGACGGCGATATGTGCCATACTGCGATCGGTGATGTGCTTGCAGTAGCTCAGCGTGAGACGTCGCAGCTTCGGACATCCAACAACAGTACCAGGTGGCAGCGGTTGCGGAGCAGGCTGATTAGCACCCTTTCCTTGTCGGCGACCATTTATCTGAGCCTGATGTTGCGCATGCGCCATTGCCATCTGAGGTGGCATCTCTGGGACCACCCACCCTATCACGCGAGCGAGAAGGTTGTCGCCTACCTTCCTGCAGTTGCTGAGATCGACCTCCTCAAGACCCTTCGCCTTCTGCACCATCTCCAGTACAGCTGGT